GGATCAGAATCTAATCAATACACCATTTTCCCAGCTCTGTAATGAAAAAGATATCAAGATTAGGTACATTACAAGAGTGTTAAAACATCCAAACATGCACACTTATCTTATTCTAGTAGAGATTAGAGGACAGGTCTAATGTTGTGAACAAAATGATCAAGTCAAAGTTATTTTATTTATTTTATCTTGTGTACCACATTTAATTGAATAATTAATCTTGAATGACTAATAACTTTAAAGAAGGCAACAATTTACAATGTGGATAAGGTGAATACTTATCCAAAGTGTGTGTGTGTGTGTGTGTGTGTGTGTGTGTGTGTGTGTGTGTGTGTGTGTGTGTGTGTGTGTGTGTGTGTGTGTGTGTGTGTGTGTGCGTGCGTGCGTGCGTGCGTGCGTGCGTGCGTGCGTGCGTGCGTGCGTGCGTGCGTGCGTGCGTGCGTGCGTGCGTGTGTACAGCTTGTCTGCACAAGGTTAAAACATTTGGGACAGCAGTGAGAATGTGAGGCGCCTGTTATGAGAAACAATTTGTTGCTTAGACTGAACTCGAAGGAGGCTCGACTGGAGAATTTGAAATAAATCAAAACAACTGTACATTAATTAAATACATTTGACATAGCTTGAACTGGCTTTTACATTTATTATGCACACAAACAACTTTAACAAATATATTGATCCTGGCTTAACATGGGACCCAAACTATTTTGTTCATAAGCTTGGTTTCAGAAAACTTGTCAGTAGTTTAACAACAATTTGAATTTTTGTAATGTCTATGGAGACCAATTTGGTTGATACAGAAATAATTTGAAGCCGTTTAATAAAGAATGTTTAAACTATATTTAAAACTGTAATTGAACTTCAACTTATATTAATTATCTGAATCCAGTGGCCAGTTGGAACAGATAATCAACAAAGTTTCCATTTTGCAGCAACAGCGCAAAATGTTTCTACAAAGTTCGTATTATGTCTGAGTCTAGTTCTGTCTTATCAGCTTTGTTTCGGAATGTGTTCAATACATTACATTTTATCATTATTACCATACAACACATAGATTTAAGAATAAATGAAACAAATATTACAACATTGACCTAAAAGAGCAGACAGATTTTGCAACCCTGATCTCCTCAGGCAGGTCTTTACGACCAGCAGTGATGCCTCTGAGGGTCTCGGGGTGCAGGACGGGGCATAGGGTTTATACAAGGTCACAAACATATCTTAACATAACAGCAATACATTTTTAAATTGATTCTTAAAGCAATATAATCTTCTTTTCTTCTTACACCTACAGCGCACACCCTGAACAGTGTGTTTCTTGTTTATAGCTCGAGCTGTGTTTAAAGAGGCGATATTGGTGATATCTCTGGCTGCTTCTTCCTAACTGCTAGTGTTGGCCACTGTAACCCCTAGAATTCGGCGATTTGTCCAATACAAATCTTTACATTGCTTTCACACAGAAGTTCCACTTTACTGATGCCTTTCTTTAAGGTTTCTCCGAACATGAGCTGTGTATGCCTGTATAGCACTTCCGTCCCTAGCAGCATACACAGAGAAAATCAGCCAGGACAAAGTCCACACTGATTCCCTGGCGTTCCAAGCCTCAGATGTTCATTAACCAAAAACGAAACACAGCCGCTCAGTTTCACAGGTAATTTTAGGATACCGTCAATCACAGATTCTGGTAAGGCAATGTCCAAATGTGGATTTGAAATTACACTTATCAGTTCTGAAGATTTGTTGGTATCCTGCCGACAACGCCAAACTTCTGAAGCAATGGAGAGTCAGGACTCAAAGAGAGACACGATGGAGCTTTGATGGCAAACACTGACGGTTTGTTTGGAGCTTCGAATTCACAAGACATGTCACGGGCCACGATCTGACCACACGGTTGAGATGCCAGACCCATGTATTTAGCTAGTTCAGAGAGAATAATCAACATTGTGCATAACAAGATAGAATCATAACACCTCTATCAGCTGACGCCAACAGGCAGGAACAGGGAGACAAAACACTGAGAGCACAGCAGCCAAGGTTACAGGTGCGTGCGCTCAGTCCGGACAGTATGAACTGATAAACTGGGTCAAAGTTATGGGCCTTGGAAAATATTCCCTGACAGTATATAATAATAATAATACTAATAACTTGAATTTATATAGCGCCTTTCATAACCTCAAGGTCGCTTTACAAAGAAACATACAAGGACAAGACATAAAACATAAAAACATAAACATAAAACAGGGGGCAGAAATGGAAGTGTAAGTGGGGGGGAGAGTGAGTTATTGTTGGAAGGCGATGTTGAACAGATGAGTTTTAAAATATAAACTAATTGAGACACAAACCACATTTTTATATTACAGTTAACACTAACGTTGAGCCTCTTGCTTACACTTAAATGTAAACTTTATCTTTTGATATCGCCGTATTTAAATGTTGATATCTCCGTTAATATCTGCTTTGGGAACAGTAACTTCGCAAAGTCGCCTTCAAAATAAAAGCATGTCTATATAAAACAGGAAGTTACGTTAAGACATGTATACAATTACAATGAAAGTAACAAAAACAATGCCATCTCCTTTTCAGGTTCAAAGAACACAAATTGGGTTATTTACATAAACTATTCATATTGCAAATACATTTTTTAACCAGGAAGGGAAGACGGACATGGATATGACCCATGTGATTTGCAATATCGCAATATACCGTATCGCAATATTTAGCATATCGTAGAATCGCAATACTATCTTATCGTGGCCTTAAGTATCGCGATAGTATCGTATCGTGGGGAGCCTGGTGATTCCCACCCCTAGTTTTTAGCGTTCACAAGACAAGAAAGGCGCGCATTTATAATTTTTTTTTTACATCTACATTATGATCAGGAAAACAATGTGTTGATTCAGTTGTGTTCCAATGATCCATGCGTGAAACTGCATATAATAGCAGGCGGTTGTATGTGTGGATAAGGTGCCAGCCATCAAAGAGACATCTGAGACCTATAGAGTTATATTTCCTTCGTCTCTATCTATACTTTTCTGTAACAACGTAAATGTCTCCTTTGTGGGACGAATAAAGGAATTCTGATTCTGATTCTGATATAGGACTGTGATAAGTTTTGCAGCTCCCTCGTCATAACGCTTTGGAATGTTGACCTTATGACACTAGAGCAGGGGTATTCAACTAAAATTCAACGAGGTCCAGTTAGAGAAAATCTCCCCATGCAAAGGTCCGGAACATCAAAATGTCAAACTTGCTTTATGAATTAGTGTGATATATATTGAAGTAGCCTGCAGCTTTATCAACGTCTGCATGTAATCAACAACTGACTGCCAATCAAATAAAGAAAGTACAATTCATAAACAACAATATTTATTGTCAATGAACATTGAACTATACAGATATACAGTAAATACTGTGGATATGTGTAATGTTCCTCTCGGGCTGCATTTAAAAATAAAATAGAGAAAATAAATAAAATAGCTTTTGAAAATATGTGCATCTTAAAAGTGCTTAATTTTAGATAAATAAAATAAAGTGTAGCAGCAGCTTGAGTTTCCCTTTTTCTTTGTTAACCGTTTCACATCATGACTTAACAGTTTCAGCCGATTATAGAACAATATCAGTCTTTACACATCATAACAATTGAACAGTTTTAAAGTTTCTCTTTCTTTCCCTCTTATATTGCAGTCCATCACTCACTTTGTTTTAATTCAGTGCGAGAATTGAGCTTGAGCTTGTCCTGCCAGGAGTTTAAATCTGGGCTGAAATGGTGTCAGGGCCATTCTCATACACACATGTAGGTGCTCATTGGTTAGCCTCGGTTAGCCTGCCCTGGAACGATATTTAGTTTTAATTTTGATCCTGGTGGACTGATCATATTGGGCTCTGAGACTGCTTATTTTTTGTGACCTCAGTTCTGACTAGAGAGGGAATGTTTGGTCAAACACTTTGTGTTTTGTCTCATAGTGGCGTTTTGGCACTTTTAATGAGCGCCACGGTCTCTGAACAAATGAGACACACTGGCTCTGTGCTCCCAGTGGGCAGGATGTACATGAATGAGTCCGTCCACTCAGGGTTAAAAGCTCTGTTCTCACTGTCCACTTTCCTCTTCTTGGAGAGCGCTATGTGTAATTATTTGTCTCTCCCTGTCTGCCGCTAACACGCCTGTTCACTCTCCTCTCCGCTTCTCTCCCTGTATCGCTAATTATTCTCTTCACTCACTTTCCTCTCCGCTTCTCTCATCTCTTCTTCTGTGTTTCTCTTCCTGTATCGCTCACTCGTCTCTTTCGCCCCCTGCCGGCAGCGGTTAAAATAGAATCGCCCCGTCAAAATTGAATTCCCCTATTAATGTATTGATTATAGGTCCGGGTCCGTATAGGTCGGCGTCTGGGTCTGGATCCGGACCGCGGTCCGCCTGTTGCCGACCCCTGCACTAGATGAACGTTTAGGGGATAATTAAAGGTATTACAAGTTAACCTGAGGGGAATTTGAACATCTGAACCAAATGTCAGGGCAGTCCATTAACAGAGACATTTCAGTCTGGACACAGTGTGGCCGACCGACCATATATGCATAATAAAGGGAATGCAGCACAAAAGCCAAGGGTTCAAAAGGTTTTGAGGCTGGAATTTTATTTGGAATATTTTATAAACTGCAGTTATATTCTCAATGTAGTTGTTTTTTTTGTAGGAGGTTGGTATAGAGGTTACAAGTTCAAAAGGTTTCTGATCCATACTAACTCTCCTAGTAATTGCTTCACCAGTTGCTGACATTTTCAAGTTTCTGAAAAGAGAATACACACACACTTTTCCATTTCCTCAATGATGGAGGATGGTGCTGTGAGTGAGCAAACCTAACTACAAAAGCGTTTTCACCCAACGTCCTCCAGCCTTGAGATATTGGTGGATGATAGAGTTCAGTAAAGGTCACAGATTGCTTAATGCTCCTTGAAATTAGTTCACTTTATGATCTCTATCTTATTTTCGCTCTTTTCCATCCGTGACGTCACGCAGCTCCCCGGTGGAGTCAGTCTTGTTCTATGCCATCACGACCCTCCACAACCTGCTGCTGCACCAGGAGGGGGCCAAGATGGCGGTGCGTCTCGCTGATGGCCTACAGAGGATGGTTCCATTACTGAAGAAGAGTAACCCCAAATTCCTGGCCATCACCACCGACTGTCTGCAACTCTTGTCTTACGGCAACCAGGAGAGCAAGGTGAGTCCAGGAGCTGGGCTTTGGGGAGGGGATCTTTGTAATGTCCACACAGTGGCCCAATTCCGAACCGTTCCTGTTGGAGGGCTTGATAACTTCCTGTTGGAGGGCTTGATAACTTCCTGATAGAGGGCTTGATAACTTCCGGTTGGAGGGCTTGATCAAATCAAATCAAATCAGGTTTTATTTATAAAGCACATTTAAAAGCGATTTTTGGTCGAGCCAAAGTGCTGTACATGTAATAAAAACACATTACTACAAAACACAATAAACGACAATAAATTACAACAGATATAACTTAAAAAACAAAATAAGAATAAAACACACGGAATAGTCAGGAGTCGTGCTCCGCTCTAACTAGAAAGCCAGAGAGAAGAAGTGTGTTTTTAGTTTTGATTTAAAAACCCCTAGGGTCTGGGCCGACCTCACATGGAGGGGCAGAGTGTTCCAGAGCCTAGGGCCAGCTGCTGCGAAGGCTCGGTGCCCTCGGGTTTTTAGCCTGGTCTTGGGCACTACCAGCAGCAGCTGGTCAGCAGACCTTAAAGCTCTGGCTGGGGTGTAGCGCTGGAGCAGTTCAGTTATATAGGCCGGAGCCAGCCCATTTAGGGCTTTAAAAACAAATAAAAGGATTTTAAAATCAATTCTGAACCGAACTGGAAGCCAGTGCAGTGAGGCCAGAATAGGGGTGATGTGGTCGCGCTTTTTGTGACCAGTCAGCAAACGTGCAGCAGCGTTTTGGACTAGCTGTAAGCGTTTGATTGAGGCCTGGTCCATACCCACATACAGAGCGTTACAATAGTCCAGTCTCAAGGTTACAAAGGCGTTAATAACCCTTTCTAAGTCTTTAAAAGATAAATACGACTTGGTTTTGGCCAATAGTCTTATTTAAAAAAAGCAGGATTTTACTACGGTGCTGACCTGCTTGTCAAATTTAAAAGTGCTGGTGAATGTCACTCCAAGGTTCATGACCGAGGGGAGGATGTTTTTTTTGATAGAGCCCAGAATATCAACCGGAGAGGCTGGAGGTTGCGGTCCAAAAAAGATGACCTCGGTCTTGCTCTCGTTGAGGTTGAGGAAGTTTTTGCTCAGCCAGGATTTTATCTCTGCTAAGCAGTCCATCAGCTGCTGTAGTGAGTGTGTGACATTTGCTTTGAGAGGCAGATATATCTGTACATCGTCGGCGTAGCAGTGGAAGGGAATGTTATGTTTTGTGAGTATTGAACCTAGGGGCAGTATGTACAGTAGAAAAAGGATGGGGCCCAGAATCGAGCCTTGGGGAACCCCACAGGTAAGAGGGGCTTTGGCAGAGGAGAAGGCACCTAGCTGTACCGAGAAGCTACGGTCTGTCAGGTAGGACCTGAACCATGCAAGGGCAGAGCCTGTGATGCCAGCGGACTGTTCAAGCCGTGACAGCAGGATGCTATGGTCCACAGTGTCGAAGGCAGCTGTCAGGTCTAACAGCACCAAGACAGCTGGGCTACCTGAGTCGGCGGCTAGGAGCAGATCATTAAAAACTCTTAAAAGGGCTGTTTCAGTGCTGTGCATGGGTTTGAAGCCAGACTGGAACTTTTCATGGATTCCATGCGTGGTTAAAAAAGACTGCAGCTGGGCGTAGACTACTCGCTCCAGGGCTTTTGATAAAAAAGGTAGCTGGGAGATGGGCCTAAAATTTGCGAGAATGGAGGGGTCGAGATTTTTCTTTTTAAGGAGTGGCTTAACCACGGCATGTTTGAAGGCAGCTGGGACACATCCTGAGGTAAGAGAGGTGTTTAAAAGTAATAAAATACTTGCTCCAACTGATTCTAAAACATCTCTGAGAAGGCGAGAGGGAATGCTATCTGAGGTGCAGTTTGTCGGCCGCAGGTGCTTGACTACATCCGAGAGAGCAGAGAGGGATACAGGCTCAAAGTGGTCGAGGACAGCAGGGCACAGAAAAGGAGCAGGATCTGGGGTAGCACTAGTGTGGGCTAGCCTAAGAGCAGATACCTTTTCAATAAAAAATGTAAGAAACTTATCACAGAGAGTAGTCGATGGCACAATTGGAGAAACATCACAGGGATTAATGAACGAGTTGAGGACATTAAAAAGAACCTGAGGTTTATGGCTGTTTTTGGAGATTAACAGAGAAATGTGCTCAGTTTTGGCTGCTTTGACTGCCGTCTGGTAGTCAGAAAGGCAAGCACCAAGGATTTCTAGGGAGACATGGAGTTTATCCTTTTTCCATTTTCTCTCTGCACGCCTGCAAGCGCGTCTGAGATCACGAGTACAGTCATTGAGCCACGGCTCTGATAGAACTTTGGTGCGTCTAAGCGTAAAAGGAGCAACAGAATCCAGTATTAGTGTACATGTCGAATCAAACATGGAGATAAGCTCATCAGCATTAAAAGCACAGTTCACATCTAATTTACAGATCGGAGAAGCATTAAAAGCATCAGAGAACAGTGAGGCAGTCAAGGGGTTAATCGAACGCAGACGACGCGCAGGGGCACGTGATTCGACTCCTGCGGAAGGGATGGAGGTTGTAAACAGAACCGGTAAATGGTCTGAGATACGCGTTGCTGCACAGATTTCATCCACAGATACAGACAGTCCAAACGATAATACTAAGTCCAAAGTGTGTCCTTTTTCGTGTGTTGGGCCAGCCACGGACTGAACGAGACCAAAGGAATCAAGGAGATTTAAAAAGTCCCTAACCAGAGGTTTGGACTCGCAACACACATGGACATTGAAGTCTCCGGAGATCAAAACACGATCATATTTCACCATGATCCCGGACAGAAAGTCATAAAAGTCATTTATGAAATCCTTATTACACTTTGGCGGACGATACACGACTGCGCAGAGTATAGGCGAGGCCGGGTTCAGTTCAAAAAGCTGCAACTCAAAGCTAGCATAGCTAGTTACAGGGTGAAGCAATCGGCATTGGAGGCTAGCTCTAAACACTGATGCTATGCCCCCACCATGGCCAGTGGCACGGGGGGAGCTGAAGAATGTACAGTCAGGAGGAAGAAGTTCAGAGAACGGTGTATACTCGCCAGCGTGAGCCCAGGTCTCCGTCAGGAACATAAAATCCAGTTCACGAGAGGTGAAGAAGTCGTTTAGCAGGAACGTTTTGTTTGCTATCGACCTAGCATTTAGCAAAGCCATGCAAAGTTTTCGCTCCGGGCTTGCCGAAGGTGTAGTGCGTCTCAGCTGACGAAGATGTGCGTGTTGTCAGTCGGGCAGGAGGAGCTGCCAGCGGGCCCCTCAGAGTCCGGAGCTCCGGAAAAACAGGGCGAATCCACCGATCTCTCACTTGGCGTGCAGCGGGAGGGCCGTGACATCCGAGGCGTGGATAATTCACAGAAGAAGCCGTCAGGTATGCCTTCAGATGGACCAGTGCACCACCACGCTTTCCCTGTCGTCGAAAGCGCTTTCGGCGAGGCAGGATGCAGTGTGACCGGCGTAGGTAAGTGGGGATATCCGACAGTAGAGGTGGGGGGGACGATTTATGGTTGCCAGATGTCGGTTTGGGCAGCAATATCAACTCCAGTGAGGGTCTGAGGTGGAGGAGAGCTTGGCGATCATAAACGAGCAGAGCAGAGACATTCTGACAAACATAAAACAAAAACAGGACAGCTAAAGTTAGAGAGCTTAGCGAGCGGCGAGCCGACACAGGCGCCATCTTGAATCACGTCCAAGATAATAAGTTGATAACTTCCTGTTGGAGGGCTTGATAACTTCCTGTTGGAGGACTTGACAACCAACTCCCCTTCCCCACTTGTTGGTTCGGAACGGCACTAAATGTGTGTAGGGGTAGGGTGTAGGGGGCGGTTTTGAATTTGGCCATTATTACAAAAATACACCTCCATCTTCCTGTTTTTGGTCAGCTGATCATCCTAGCCAATGGGGGCCCAGAGGGTCTGGTGTACATCACGAGGAACTACAACTATGAGAAGCTGCTGTGGACCACCAGCCGTGTCCTCAAAGTGCTGTCCGTCTGTCCCAGCAACAAACCAGCGATCGTGGAGGCTGGTCTGTAATACATCAGTAAACAGGATTTAAACCCTCAGTGTATGTCTGTAAACATCTGTTGTAATTAGCTTTCATCTGTGTCCAGGAGGGATGCAGGCTTTGGGCCAGCATCTCACAGGCTCCAGTCAGCGTCTGATCCAGAACTGTCTGTGGACGCTCCGCAATCTGTCCGACGCTGCCACCAAGCAGGTACTCATTCACCCTCTACAAATGCTCTATAATACTACTACTACTACTGCTACTGGGAATCAAAGGATTTTAAGGCTTTATTTGTCATATGCACAATATCTACAGCGTAGTTTTGGTAATGAAAGTCTTTAGCTCCTCCAACACTGAAAAAAACTGAAACGTTGATTTTAATTAAATGTATTGTACCTAAGTTGAAACTGTTGCACGACATAAAAGTAAAAGACATAAAATATTGCAGTAGAATGCTGCAATAGATAAAATGGTTCAACTACAAGTACTAAAACGGAATACTTCTACTGAGTAATACTACTACTACTAACTGAAACGTTGATTTTAATTAAATGTGTTGTACCTAAGTTGAAAGCTGTTGCTTCAACTTAGGTATATCAACATATGATAGTAAAAGACATAACATATTGCAGTAGAATGCTGCAATAGACAAAATGGTTCAACTACAAGTACTAAAACTGAATACTTCTACTGAGAAATACTACTACTACTAGCTGTTTTAGTATTTATTCCATATCCTTGATATCAGACAGCAGTTTTCTCAACTAGTTGGACATTTGGTCACAATAGTTTCTTCTTACTTGTTGGACAAAAGCTTGTACTAGTTACTCTTTTATGCAATTAGTAGCACTTTGGTCTGACAAGTTCCAACATAAGCCTTGCTGTGGCCTATAGAGGTGCTCTGGATAAAAGCATCAGATACATTTATTGTTTTCTACTAGTGATGCTAGACACTGCACTTGTAGCACCAAACTGGTCAGCTTAACTAGTGACACTGAAAGTTAACTAGCGACTGATCCACAATTTTCCTAATTATTTAGATCCTAAATGGCTCCAACTAACAAAGGGGAGGGGGCAAATTGGCATTGAGGCTTCCTATTGGCCACACAGACTAAATGTAACCCAAAGCCCGATGAGCTCTCTCTGTTGTTTACTGACCGCTAATATGCATGTAGGAAAGCATGGAAATGTTTGTTACATCAGATTAAATATTTTATTTATTAACAGCAGTGAAATTATCTAAAGGGTCACAGTTTGTGTTACAATTGTGTATAAGCTCTTTGAAAAAACATAATTGGGAAGCTGTCATTGGGCTTATTGTGGGTTTGTTGACCTGAATAATAGCCAAATAATTATACATTTTTAAATGTTTATATATCTCCATACTTTAACAATAGCATCAGAAATGTAGACATGTGTTTCAGGGTGTAACCTGTGATTTCTCTGTAGTTTATATGCCTGCTGATATATTATCATATGCTTTGTCCTCTGAACATAATGGGATGTCATTTGTTACACTTATTAAGTGACGCCCTGTCTTGAATGTTAACAAAAGAGAACAATTATTTGTGTTTTTAAAAAATGGGGACAGTAGTTTTTCTGTAATGCTGCTGACAAACTGAGAGACAACCCTGAGCTAACACATAACCTCCTCTGGCAAGTGAGATGGATCTAACTGTCTTTGTTTATTATCAGTGGCTTAGTTGTAAATCTGTGTTGTGTATGAGGCTGTGCTTCTATCACTGCTGTGATTTGTTTGTTGTTCTCTGTGAAGGAGGGATTAGACGGTCTGCTGCAGATTCTGGTCACCCAGCTGGGCTCTGACGACGTCAACATGTTGACGTGTGCAACTGGCATCCTGTCCAACCTCACCTGTAATAACTCACGCAACAAGGTATCCCTTACACTCCGTCATATGTGTCGGTTTAACACAGGAAGGCTGAGAGTAAAATACATTTAGTCTCAAAATCTCATCATTCTGAATTAGTTTGAATCATACCTACAGTGCATTCATCAATATAAGAGACTACAGTATGCGAACATATTATTTTGTAAGACATGATTATGGTACTGTTATATCTTTAATTAAATCATTTCTTGTCTATAAAATCCTATCTTATAAGAAACTAATAAGATTCATTGGTCACTCGTTGCTAGTTCTTATCATTGTGTTTTTAGTCCATACGCTCAGTTGAAGATTGTGATCAAATTGATGCAAAATTCAACAGCGTTTAGACAAGACCAAACAAACCTCACGCCTTAGTTCATTTCAACTCCCTTGGACTTAATCCACTCAATATTTTTTACATTTTAAACAAACGTCTGTGTGTATAGGAACAGACAGAGGCCCTATTCTGCTTCTTGGGGTTTTCCTCTCCTGTAGTGTGTTCTACGGTGGCCCTGAAGTGCAAGACACCACAGCATTTCACAAAACACCACAGCATTTCACAAAACGCTACAGCATTTCACAAAACGCTACAGCATTTCACAAAACGCTACAGCATTTCACAAAACGCCACAGCATTTCACAAAACACTACAGCATTTCACAAAACACTACAGCATTTCACAAAACACTACAGCATTTCACAAAACACTACAGCATTTCACAAAACGCCACAGCATTTCACAAAACACTACAGCATTTCAGAAAACGCCACAGCATTTCAGAAAACAATACAGCATTTCAGAAAACACTACAGCATTTCCTTTAGGGAGAACACTTCTTGTTTGTGATTGGACAGAGCCAGCCAGAGAAGCACTGCTGTGATTGGTTGTTTTTGCTGCCAGTCAAGAAATGACGCTTCGTGATTGGTCAGCACACGACAGCGCAACATGTCCCAACACATCAGCCGTTAGCTGTTAGCACTCAGAGCTCACATCTCCTCATATCTGTTCAGAAACTAGACAAAAGTTAAACATGTACAAACCACAGACTGTCTATGTCATGGCGAATACAGTCGCTGCTTTATTTATGTCTGTATTACATTACATTACATTACATGTCATTTGTTAGACGCTTTTATCCAAAGCGACTTACATGTACAGATGTAGCACTCCAGAAAGGACTCCAGCCAACAGCTTCCTGCCAAAGACCCAAGGGATCCCAGCATCTGGGAATGTTAAGCCCTCCCACTATTTTCCAAGAGGGCGTTGCCAGATTTTCAATTTCAGGATTTAACCATGAGATGGCGCTTCATTCACAAATACAGAAAGACAACTTTCATGGACTTTCAGTACTTCAGTTGTGCTTTGAAGAGCATTTGAACACATCAATATTTTAGATCAAATAAAGTATATCTAATCTTGTAATTCAATAATATATAGTCTTTATATATTAAATAATCATAATTATAATGTAAATGTTTACACTTCTTTATTTTTGATGCTCATACTTTTACCTTTACAATCGTTCACTTTAATATGCAGTATATTTTTTGTAATATTTTTTTTGTGTTTGCTTCCTCCTGCTCCCTTTCGGACACATACTGTATGATATATTATTATTATTAATATGAAGATATTATTAAGATAAGATAAGATAAGATGTTACTTTATTGATTGAACATTTTAGTTTAGAGTTCTCTGCTGTCCCACGGTAATTCAGAAGGCTCACATTCCGACCATTATTTAAAACAATAGGCGCTTTCACACCGTCTACAGTTTGATTTGCATAGAGGGAGCTGTGGCTGAATAGCCGGCAATTAGGCGTGGCGCATTTATCATTAGGTGATCAGAGCTGCCTGCCTGCCGTCAGATTTCATTTAAAAAACAGGTCTGATTTTCAGGGCAGTCAGCAAATAAGAGAATAGATTTTCATCTATTCTCTTATAGTATTAAATACTATAAGACAGTAAAAAAAAGTTGTTATTAATAAACAAGAATACAGTTTAAAAGGGAGAGTGATTTGTAAAATATCCATAAAGAAAAAGAAAATCTGCTTACAGTTCTGTTTCATATGGGTGTTGAGAGATGTATCCATAGATCTCTTCATGTTGCTCTCAAAGTGCACCAGATTGATGCTTTTAACTTCAATATTAAAAAAAAAAATCTTCCCGGGGGAGCATGCGGTCGTTTTGTCACACTGAGGAGTAACTTCTGCACAGCTGCTGTACAGCATCTGCTTACAAAGTGCAATAAAAGATGGCAATACAGCACCCTGGGTCCACTGATGACATGTTTTCTATTAAATGTTGTTGACCTGGCATGACCAATGAAGAAATTCTGATTTGGTACAATACACCGAAAATGAATATGCAAATAGAATTACTATCATTCTAGTTTTCTTCCAAAGTTGCTATGATTGAGTCAAATGAGGTTGAAAAAGATACCTGAAACTAATGGGTGAATGATTCCCCATCAGGGCCGTATCCAGGATTTCTTAAATACCGAGGTCCAAACATGCTAGGGGAGTTCGGGGGTATACCCCCCCGAGATTTTTGGGATTTTTATGATCTAGTTAGGTGCTTTTTAAGTCCTGTGGGGGGTCACAAATTGATAATATATTGATTTCAAACCATGTCAGTGGGCTGCAGCATCAATTATTTTTGAAAGTGTAATGCATAAGAATCAGTTGATTGTTACATATGAATGATCTGGACATGCAGAAGAGGCTAAAATGATCACACAACATTGTCAACATTCATTTTCCATGTCTCTCTCCTTTCCATAACCTGCACCCTCTCTTCCATCTTCTTTAGTCTCTCTGTCTTCTTCCTGTTCATTACTCTCTCTGTCCTCTACTCTTTCTCTTTGTTCAATCTCTCCCTCGTTGTTCACTTGTTGCTCCTCCTCACTTGTCGCTCCTGCCAGTGAATTAAAAGCAATTCAGCAATTTAGTTCATTTGACTTGTTTGTTTGCATTATTTTTTTAATTTAAATCTGTTTTGTTTGATTCTCAAAAGAGAACAAAGATGTAAGAAAATTGTGTGGTTTTATACACTTGTATGTTATTATGACATCATAACTGCAATAGATGTAAGTTGTTTTAAAATTATGGCTATTGTCTATAGTGTAAATGAAGACTATTGTTATAGATAAATAGATAAATATATAGATAGATAGATAGATAGATAGAGAGATAGATAGATGGATAGATAAATGGATAGATAGATAGATATAGATAGATAGATAGATAGATAGATAGATAGATAGATAAATGGATAGATAGATAGATAGATAGATGGATAGATAGATAGATAGATAGATAGATGGATAGATAGATAGATAGATGGATAGATAAATGGATAGATAGATAGATAGATAGATGGGGTTATTAAGCCTACATTCTTTTGTGTGACTGTACCTGCAGTTCCTCCCTGACTTCCATCACTTTCTCTCTCTCTCTTTCTCTCTGCCTGTCCTGTCTCTTCCTTACCAAAGCTGAGCTTCGACTGAAGTAGTCTTTTCATTATATCTGAGTCAGTGTAAAAAGAAAACAATACAATGTTATATCTTCAATGTTTTACTCAAATTGAAATGAAAGAAAAGCATTACAACGTTTGTTAAAAGGTAATCCTTCTAACATTGGATGAATGTAATTAACTTTAGCTCTCTAGCTAGTTTATTCACGCAATTTAAACCAAAGTATAGCCTATAGCTGCAATATAAGTTAGTGTGCATGTTGTCGGACGTCCACTGACTAACGTAGAGCGTTCACACAGGATCTGCTGGTCATATGATGTCCTGATGAACAGAAACACAAGCAGGACTCAGATCTCTAGATACCTCATCTCTCCTCCGCTGCTCCGATACAAGTCCGGGCTGCGGTGGTTTGTTGATACATGTCGTCTTCTTCTGTTTGCTTTAATCGAGGCTACGTAGTTATGCAGCGCCCCCATCGTCAGTAAATGGAAGTACTACAAAGAACGCGTTTAGTGCAGTTATTCCACACGTTTTGTTATAGACACAGCTCGGAAAAAATTACCGAGGTCCGGACCTCGGTGACCTCAATGGTGGATACGGCCCTGTTCCCCAAGATTCTGATTAGCTCCAGAAATGTATTTGGGTTTTTCCTTGGCCCTTACTAGACCCTTTCAACACGTTTCATGAAATAGGATCCAATATATTTTCTGGAAACCTTCTGTCCAACAGCTAAACAAAAAACAAACCAAAACAAAGTTACAACCTAATCGGCGGAGGTGGAAATTAAGCATCTTTCTCTCAAAGTTGCAGTAGATGAATGAAAAAACCCACAGAGCAAGCCTGAAAATCGACGACTTCAGAATCACACTTGAGTGAAGATAATAAAATATAAATAATAAATATGTTTATAAGCATTCAGTCAAAAAAACATTTGTAAGAACATATTTTGACAAGTAATTAATCTCATTAAAATATCTAATGTTAGTAACTATTAAAGAAACAATGGGGACAATTCTGTTTTAATGTAGTTTTACCATTGTAACTGCTGTGCAGACATACTGATAAAATAGGGCTTCTATAATTACCTTAAATAAACTCACTAACGGTACGTCTACACAGCAGCGTTAAAAAAATCTTGGAGGTGGGCGTATCTGAAGCTTGAGGATTTTTTGCGAGCAAGGCACCAACAACCAATCACATGAATCTCCCGCCCGCGACATACGAAGCAAAAAAGCCCGAAGTAAACTGGATATAAACTCCCCAAACAGGCGAAAACCTACCACTGTCTCTGCCACCTCCCTCCATGCCTGGCTCCTCCGGTTTATATCCCGGTAGGTCTGGTCATAAAGCACCGGGTGATTGATTCGCTACCGCTAATTTCTCCTCCATTTTTTGGAATATGAGGAAATGACCTGCGGTATGTCTCTCCCAGCATACACGCCGTTTGATTGGCTAGAGCTTGAACTGTCAGATTTGCGTACACAGGATTTCATTGGCTGACGCTTCCACCTCAGCCTCAAAAGTTGAACAT